ATTTGGTGTTAAGCCTCTGCTAGCCTTAACAGGCTACTTTCCTTAAAAGAAAGAAAGAAACCAATAAAACATCTTACATCTTTTATAAGCTGGTAAAATCATCGTTGTCGTCATCGTCATCATCATCATCTTCGCTATCAAACAGCAAAAAATGCTAATAAAATCTCACGTTTGCTTTATATGGATGATCTGAAGCTTTATGGAAAATCAGAAATCGAAATCCGGTCATTGACAAATCCTATAAGGATGTTCAGCACAGAGATAGCAATGGAATTTGGCCTAGAAAAATGTGCTACAGGAGCAATAAATCAGGTAAAATCCCAAACAGTAATGGAATTGAAATGCCAAATGGCCAAACCATCAGGATAAAGCCTACAAGTATCTGGGCATTTTACAGTTGGATAACATGGACATGATAGCATGGACAAGTTAAAAATGTGATTAGTAAAGAATACATCCAAAGAGTGAGAAAACTGCTAAAGACAAAATTGAACAGTGGAAACGCCATCAAAGCCATCAATACTTGGGCCAGACCTGTGATACGATACACTGCTGGAATTATTTACTGGACACAAGCTGAACTGGACAGTTTGGACCAAAAATCAAGAAAACTCGTGACTATTCACTATGCATTGCATCCCCGTAGTGATATTGCTAGATTATACCACCCTTGCAGAAATGGAAGGCAGAAGTTTACTTCAAGTCAAACAAACTGTCGAAGAAGAAAAACATGCATTGGCTGATTACGTAAAAGACAGTCAAGAACAAGCATTGATGCAAGTGAAAAATTGGAACTTACCAAATGTACAGGAAACAAAGGGTGAATATTCAAATAATGTAATCAGAACACGAACAGAATGCTAGCAAGGAAAAGCATTACACGATCAATCTCTACAAAAGATTGAGGGGAAAGTGGTTAAAGATAAAACCTGGCAATGGCTTACAACTGGAACATTAAAACAAGAAACCGAAGGCTTGATTTTGGCTGCTCAAGAGCAAGCTATTCAAACTAATGCAATCAAGGCCAGAATTGAAAAATCATCAAATGATTCCAAGTGCAGATTGTACAAAGAAGCAGAAGAAACAATAAGTCATATACTCAGCTCGTGCAAGAAGATAGTACAAACTGGCTATAAACAATGACATAACGCTGTTGCCAAAATGATTCACTGGAACATCTATAAAAATTATCATCTGCCAATAATGAAAAATTGGTGGGAAATATAGTTGAACAAGTAGTAGAAAATGAGCAGGTTAAAATATAGTGGGATTTCCGAATAAAAGCTGATAAAGTTTTGGCACGTCACAGACCAGATTTAACTGGGGTTGAAAAGAAGAAAGTGTGGATAATCGATGGGGCAATACCAGGGGATAGCAGAATAGAAGACAGAGAATTGGAGAAGATCACAAAGTATCAAGATCTGAGAATCGAAGTTGAAAGATGATGACATAAACCGGCAGTGGTGGTCCCAGTGGTTATCGGCACATTTGGATGCCACTTAGAAAATCTGTGCATTGGCAAAGTGTCCATCTGTCAATTACAAAAGGCCACACTGCTTGGATCTACATACACCTATACTATGTCAATACATTACGACAGCCTAGATTCTTGGGAAGAACTTGATGTGAATGAAGGCCAACACCACCTAAAGAACTGGCAGCTGTGATTTCATGTTGCTTTGTATATAATAATGACAATGACAATGACAACGATGATGATGATGATGATGATGATGATGTCCCCTTAGCTGCAAAAAAAGGTACCCAGTCCTGCTCTACCTCTCGCTACTCTGGGGCTTCCTATCAACTATTGCTCACCCTGGCCCTTGTTCTTGCTCATCCCAACCTTCTTCATATTGATTCCCCAACATGTCATTCTTTCAGCTAAGCATCGCTTTTCTGGGCCAAACTGAAGTCCGTTGGTTTAACTTCCCTATCTAGAAAAAGAACCAAACTAACTGCATTTCCCCATTCTCCAACTGTTAAAAAAATATAGTGCTGGATGGGAAGAAATCATTTCAGCATCCTCTCTAAATGTTAAGTTCCTTTGAAAAAAAGTGACAGCAGTGAAACCGGTAGGGGAAGGCCAACATGTCCGTGTTGTGTAAATACAACTTCTCCTGAAGTTTACATATCATTCCATATTGTGGTTAGAATTTCCTACTCTACCACTGGGTGGCAGTTCTTCCTCAAAAATCCCAAATCAGCCATTCCTTTCTTTTGGAATCTGTGGAAAAATAGACCACTCATTGAGTGTTTATTATTTACAATATTTGCATACTCCCATTGAGGCATTGCATCTCCAGGTGATACATAGGATTAAAAACTCATGTACTGTAATGCAATATGATGTGATGCAATGTGATGAAGTAAAAACACGTTGGCTGAGTTGAGTTCACACAACCTGGTTCCTTGGTTACTGGATCAACCCATTTGGGGGGTTTACTCAATACACTGAATGATAATCTGATCAAACAGTCTGAGTTCACAAGTACACTGATCTACAGAAAGTCTAACCACAGTGAAGCTTTAGTATGTTCTACAAGTGCAGCTACTAGGTTTGTAACTGACCTGGCTAAGGCTGTTGTATGAAGTGTTTGCTTTGCAAGGGCCATAAATTGTTCAGGTGTATCCTGAGATCAAGGATCACACATTTTCAGCATGCTCCTGGCCTGTAACAAATTCGGGCCATGCTTTCTTTCTTGAGGGCAGCATTTGTCCCTGAACAGAGTTGCTTAGTTTATGCAACGTTAGTACTTTGAGACCTTGCCCAGAGATTTAGGTCTTCAGCATCCATAAGAGAAAACTCAGAAATTGGATCCAGGATCTCCTGATTCCTGTACAACAACCTGATTTGTATGTGGTAAGATTTCTGCAGAATTGTTACGTGACTGTTAAACCAACTCTACATGATCTAACCAAAGGCCTCTGCCGGTCTCACCACATCCTCCGTTCTGCTGTTTCTTAACCATTTTCTTCTTCTTTCTCTCCCATCACCCCCATTCCTACAACACAACTGTTTCTGAGAACTTGTGAAGTTTCCTTAACGCTTCCTCCAAAACTTTGGCAAAAAGCATGATCATGATTCTCTTCTGTTTTATTCCTTTGACAGCATCATTAACGCAACCATCACCTCTGGCCAAGGAAACTACCAGACCATCATGACCTTGTACCAAGATCCCCAGTACAGCAAACCTTTTGCCCAGAGCCCTATCTTGCTCACAGTCAATCACAGAGCCTACGTGGGCATCCAGGTTTTGGGAGCTGACCCCACCCGCTTTGTGATCACTTTGTCCTCGTGCTGGGCCACGCCAGACAGAGATCCTTCCTCCAGCATTCGGTGGGATCTCATCACCAACCAGTAAGCTGTTCATGAGAATTGAAAGGAAACAGAGTTTAATTATTTTGGGGTGGACAGGCCTTGTTGCCCCCATTAGCATCTCCAGTAGTGAGGGATCTGAGATCATTCAGTAATGTCTGAATGAGCAGGTGTTTCCTGTCCTTCAACTTAGTGGGAGTGACCATTCAGAGTTGCCCAAAAGTCTGAGATTCAGGGGAAGAGGAAATACTGAGAATTGAGGGGATACAGTACTCATTGCCTTCAAGACAATAGTAAAGACAGTTCTTAATCACTGGCATCAAAAGCTAACTACCAGACTAAGTTGCAGTATTTAAGACTAAACTAAAAGTAGAAATCTTCATGTATTATAGGCCTTGCATGGCTAGATTTTTTTTTTTTAAATGGGAGATTGGAATCATATGGAGGAAGGGGATACATTAATTTGGGGGCCTTTTTGTGTGTGTGTGTGCCTTTGAGTCAGTTTTTGACTCCTGGTGATTGCCTGGACTAATCTCTGCAGTTTTTGTGACAAAGTTTTTCAGAAGTGGTTTGCTCTTGCCTTCTTCTTTCTAGGGCAGAGAGAAAGGGACTGGCCTGAGGTCACCCAGATGGCTTTGTGCCCAAGGAAGGATTAGAATTCAGTCACCCACTTTCTAGCCTGATGCCTTAACCAATACACCAAACTGGCGTTCTCTTGGGGCCCCTACAGTCCCAATAACGGGATTTCTATTGTCGGTTGTGATATATTTATTTCTTCGGTTTATATAACTGCCCATCTCATATACAGTGTGTGACTCTGGGCATCTTACAACAGTTAACAGTCAATTTGCAAGGGAAACAAAGTCCCAATCAGGACTAACTGAAGTTTTCTTCCACTTCAAAGAAATGTTATGGTGGAGGATGACATTCCAAGTGGAAATGCAACATGGGCCAAGGGCTAAATCTTGCCTATTCCACATTGTGGTTCCAATAGAATTTGGGTCTTTGCATTCATGATATCTTAGGGAGGGGGAGAGGAAGTCATGGGAAATGAATGAGTTGTGTAATGTATAATTTAATTCATTGAATAAGCTGCTTTTGGTTTAATTCATGCATATTATATCACCAGCTATGATTTGCCAACCATTATGGTTACATTCTTATAAAACAAGCTAGATTCAATCAAGTTACATGATGGCTTATGGCAAATAAGGAATTTTCACACATGGGATAGGCTCTTGACAATGTATTCATCCGAATTTGGTGAGTCTTGGGTTGAAAACACAAAACCAGACTTTATTAAATGGCATGAGATTGACATGAGATAAATATGAATATTCTATAGATGATAAGTGATCAACAGGTAAATGTGAAGTGATCCTTGATCTCATCATACCTTCTAACAACTTTCACTCCTCTGTCTGATGTTATCTTTCCCTCTCTAGGTGTCCCAACCCTCAAGATGACACAGTAGAAGTTGAGGAGGATGGAGTGTCCCTTTTGGGGCGCTTCTCCTTCAATGTTTTCATGTTCATTGCAAATTTGGAAGAGGTGTATCTACACTGTCGCATCCGCCTCTGCAGCTTCCGGATGGCCAAATGCACAGTGGTGAGAGAAGAAGGAGGAACTGTTGATAAGGTCTTCTCTTTACATTGTAGGAGGACAGCCTTGCTAGTCTATAATGGCAAAAAATCAGAAGGAATCTGTGCATCTATTTCATCAGATGCACAGATGATGAGGCTAAGGGAGGGGAAGATAGGTTCGTTGTGCAGATTACATATAAAACTGATTACAAGTACCTTATCAATGAACAATTGTGATGTGTTAAAAACTGATTGTGTTTGTTGAGACCTTCTGAAGTTGCCATATATTGATGTATTTGAGTTCAACAATTTCTTCCTTGATGGTGCTGTTAAAGTCCTGCTTTTCCAAAACTTTGAGGTCTGCCATGGAGTCACTTTGTGTTTTGCTGGGTTCACACAAAAACCATTCTCTTGAACAAGATAGTGAGATTGTGTTTTCCCTGTTTCAGAACTGCCATTCACCAGGCTCTGTGATTGTGGGAAGGAGACCTCCATCAGCCATCATCTCGGCTGGCCCTTTCTTGAAATACAGTAGCAATTTTCTCGATCAAGGTAGGTTGCTTTGTGCTCAGACCTAATGCCAAGGTCCCTGAGTGCTCCTTGACTTCGAAATTTCCCCAATCACTGCTTCTCTATGCTTTTTTCTTCTCATGTGACCCTTAAGAAACCCCCATCCAGCCTATCATTTCCCCCCATCTCCCAGGAACCCCAATTGAAACTAGCTTCCTGCAGCAACAGACCAGACACTTACAAGCAAGGCCACAGGGAGAGAAGTTCATTGCTTCATTCCTCCCTGTGACCCTGATCAACATCACTGGGAGTGAGTGGGATGACTGTGATTTGCTCATGTTTCTGTATGAATGGTGGGAATAAATCACAGCTACCTATTCCCCATCCAACCATTACTTGCAGCCTTCAAATAAAAAAGTTACCCAACTCTGCATGATATGGATTCCAAATATTGTTATTTCCTGGTGAGGACCATCTGAAAATATCTACAGGCAGGGTCACTGGGAACCTGATGCTTCCATGCCTCTCTCTACAGGACTTCAGCTGGCCAGTAGAAACTGTACCCCGTCACCCTTCATCTTCCTATTTCTGTTCCTCAGCACTGTGGTGACCTGCTGGATTCCATGCTAACCTCTTATGCTGAGAATATGGCTTACAGATGGATGGAGATGTCAGACTTGAGGCCCACCATTCATGGAGAGACGCCATGCTGGTAGTTTTTGGTCGAATCAAGGATAGGTAGAGAGCATTATAACTCAGGGTGTGGAAAAGTTCTGGACTCAGGAGTCATATTTAGACATGGCCTTGGTTGCTCTTTCAAGGGCTGTACGAATGTATAATTTCAGTTGTGAAGTACACAAATCATCTTTTTCTTCCCTCTGTTCCTCCATGCCATTCCATGCTTTTCACAGCTTTTAATGTTCCTGATAGAGCAAACATGCACACAGGAGATCAAACTGCACTCCTCCAATTGTGAATAGTTGCTCACTTTAAGCTCACTTGAATGGCAGCACCATGGTGGTTACGAGAATAAAATCCAGTTTGCTTCTGCCATCCAGTGTCGAGTGTATTTTCTTAAAAGGCACTTGGAGAAACAAAAGGAGAATCCCTTTTAAAGTCATGTTCATAAAACTATCCTTTCCAGCTACAAACACACTCTGTGGTCTCCTTCTGATTTTAAAATGTTTTTAAAAAAGAAGAAAGCTCCTGTTTGCTGGGTGATCATTTGGGTTGTGGCATCCTGGCCTTCAAGACCCAAAAATCAACTTTGGCTAAGCCATCAACCATAAAGTAGATCTGGGGATAATGTGGCTGGAGGTGGATAGAGTAAAGCCTCTTTTGAGTCAAGCAGGTCTCCTGGTGACTTCATAGACATGTCTGTGTGGTCTTCTAGATAGCAATATGGAAGTGGCCTGCTAGTGCCTTCCTTCCTGTTTTTCAACTTCCCAGCGTTGAGATTTCCTGTGGTCTGCTATCCAACTACTAAACAGTGGCAGCTCTGCTTGGCTTCTAAGCTCAACGTTACTCCAAGAAAGTTGCTCAGAGAAAGTGGCTACCGCCTGCAGAGACAAATGAGGCTCGGTAAAAATTGAAAAATGATTTTAATTATATAGTAAGTATTGGTTTTAAAATAGCTCACCGTGAACTAGCCTGATCTGGAACCGTTCTCCTTAATGTTGTCTTAGAAACACACACACACAAACTCCTTGCAATTGGAAATAGTGCAGTTCACACCACACCACCTTCTCCAGCATGATGCACAGCAGACCAACTCGGGGACAGAAACTCCTGCCGTTGGGAGAAAGGGGTGACCTGTGTTTTCTCCCATGGCAGCCAGAGATGCAATTGAGAGGGGGAAGGCAGGGGCTTCAATAGAGCAAGGTGAACCTTTGAGATGGGCCTCTCCCAAACCAGTATTAGTCACCAGGGCAAGAGCTATGGAGAGTCAGAGAGAAATGCACACGGAAGTCATTCCCTGGGAGGAAAGGTAGTACCGGCTCCAGGTACCACACAGGGAGTGGGCAGAGCAGCCTCCAACAGCCTGGACCAGGATTTGGACTACCAGATCTTTAACAATCTTCCAATTGCAGTGGGAATAAATGCCATAAACCAGTGTTTTTCAAAGTTGGCAACTTGAAGAGGGGTGGACTTCAACTCCCAGAATTCCCCAGCCAGCATGGCTGGCTGGGGAA